TCTGTCCAGATATAGATGTAATACAACTCCCAAAAATCTTTGACAACAACAGATGGGATGATAATTTGGGCAGCCAAAGCTTGACAATCAGTAGAAAGTAGTTAATTAGATATTGTCTCCATTTTTCCAAATTCCATTTTCTTAAATGGCTCAAAATCTTAATTTAATTGTTCCCATGGCAATGACATTGTATTCTAACTTCTTGTCACTAGCCCCTGTACAGAGCATGACGAAATGTGTCAGTAGATTTGAGAGACTCGAGATGTTATTTGAGAGACTCGAGAGGTAAGATCTGGCTTACCTGGAATCGTAACTATTATATTTTGTCTTAGGGAAGAAAGCCACACACAGTTATTTCGCATCATGACAAAACAGAAAGAATTACGTTTACAGTGTGGAATGATGGACAGATTTTTAAATGACACTCACATTTCTACAATTACTATTTGTTCATTTATAATACTTCCAATGCTAATGTGTGTACACAAATGGGAATCCCTGTTTGTAAGAGAGGGTGTCTGAACTAAGCATGTCTACTGCATCGTCTGCCTTGCAGGAGGCAGAGGTGGAGATTAGCATACTGAACAACTTTGTGAATTAGGAGAAAGAATAATGAGCGAGGCAGGACAATAATGGGAGCATTCCAGGTCCCCAGCAGTAAATGGGGCATGTCATTCTTGGCGTGAGTGCATTATTGGATGGCAGGCCGCCTGAAAAGCAAATTTCAAAGCATGTACCAGAACTCTTCTTCATTAATGTTTTTTTCATTACATCTATTTTAAAAAATTTTTAAATTTTTTTATTTAAGGTACAAAGGGAAGTGAATGAGTAAGGTCACATGTGTTTTTTAACCCATTAAGGACCAAACTTCTGGAATAAAAGGGAATCATGACATGTCACACATGTCATGTGTCCTTAAGGGGTTAAATAAGTCACTAGAAGTAGGATTAAACATGTTTAAAATGGCTGACTGCACAAAATTCAGAAAATGTGTTCCTTATTGCCCATTACAGTTGAATCAAGCAACGTTTCAACTCCATGTGTGCCTTTATCAAGCCATGTAAATGGTCAGACTGCTCTCAGCCCATGAATTAATTTTGTATGTTTGTAGTGCCAGGTAATAGTTTGACAGCTTACCGAGTATTGGCACCAAGGGACTCCAAGCACCATAACCACTACAGATAACTGTAGTAATTATGGTTCTTAGAACAACCCTATTATTATCTGCAACAAATAATATATTTGTAAAGGTTGGGCAACACAAATCTCTCTAAGAATAATGTAAGATCTACCTATTGCCTATCTCTGCTTTTGGTACATCTCCACTTAATCTACCAAAGGAATTGGAAAGCATTGGGAGGTGAACCACTACATGAGCTAAGGGCTACCCACTGTGAAAGAACTGCATGTTTACACCTTGAAATAAATCAAATACAAAGACACATGAGATAACATTGGCCTGGCACCCCCAATCTGACTCTAAGGTAGTCTGCACGCAAAGGCGTTGTGCATCGATGCTAAAGGATCGCAATAAAGTTACAGAGTTTACAATCTACCAGCACTGTTGCAGGACAGGATGGTGAAAATACAGCAAAATTAAATGCAGCTGATAAAATAACAATTATATGTATATAGTGCCAATGGCACTTCATTAATACTATACAAAGTATAAAAATCCCATTTTATATGTTTGGTTTTTTTTAGAGACTAGCGAAGTGAGTTCTGCCAGAGATGGGTTCAGTACTGAACCCGAGGATCACTCTATTTGTGCCAAGTGTATGGAAATGTGTCTAAAAAAGAACGGGAGTTTCTTAGAAATGTTGTATTTGATGCTCAAAGAGCCAGGAAGATTGCTTTTTTACTGTAATATCAAATGTATATCAATATGCGTGCAGTTTCTATTACAGAATTAATTAATAATATGTGTGCCATCTGTTGCTTTAATTGCTTTAATCACCTACTGATGAGAAAGGAAACAAAGAAGGTCAGGATCCACCCCTGACGGGGACAAGACATTTATTTAGATCTCATCCAAACTTAAATTCACACTTTTAAGAATTACATATATGATAAAAGATTTTATCATATGCTTTATGCTTTATATTCATAAGCAACATTTACAAACAAACTAATAGTGTTATATAGTACAGTGAGAATTTAAAGTGAATTTCAAAAGTAAGGCAAGAGTAACTGGATCTACCAAAGGTAGGCAACCTTTTGCACTCCAGATGTTTTGGACTATATTTCCCATCATGCTCTTATATCTGTAATGCTGGCAAAGAATCAGTGGAGATATAGTCCACAACATCTGGAGTGCCGAAGGTTGTCTACCCCTCTTAGACAATATTTCCAGTACAACTATTTTGACCTTAAAGGGACACTATAGTCACCCAGACCACTTCAGCTCAATGAAGTGGTCTGGGTGTCAGGTCCCTCTAGGGTTAACCCTGCCTGATGTAAACATAGCAGTTTCTGGGAAACTGCTATGTTTACATCTGGGGTTAAGCCAGCCTCTAGTGGCTGTCTTTTCGGACAGTCACTAGAGGTGCATCGGCAATGATTGAGGCATATTATGCCTCAATCACGCAGAGCATCCATAGGAAAGCATTGAAAAATGCTTTCCTACGGACACTTTGAATGCCGCGCATGCACATTCGGCGCCGGTGACGTAGACAAGGATGCTGACATTGGCGGGGGAGGAGAGGTAAGGGAGCCCAGCGGGGGAAAAGGGTGAGTAGCTGAAGGGGTTTATCCATGGGAGGGGGACCCTGAGGGTGGGGGCACCCTCAGGGTACTATAGTGTCAGGAAAACCAAGCGGTTATAGTGTCCCTTTAATATTTATTACAGAATTTGCTTTGAATTCTCACTTAAGTAAATAACCCCACTGGAAAGGACATATTGTTCACAAATCATAATATTGGGAGCAGATCCGAAAAGGGTATTTGGCAGTTTGTGAGCACCCTATGATTATGAATTTAGCATCTGATAGACTTGTCCACAAATTCTATTCAGCTTGCATGACCGAATCAAATTCATGATACTCTACAGCCGAACGAATCGATCCATCCAGGATTTACATGAGGAGTTTCATTCAATTCATTTGACTTCACAGCTAAATCCTGGACGGACCGATTCATCTGAGCATAGATTAAAAGGAATTTAAAATTCATACTAGCTGAAAAGCCTTTATGCACAAGTCTACAATCTGATAGTCGATCGATGATCTTGATGCATGCAACAGTGTTCAGCAAGTCGCATCCCCTTTACTAATAGACACAGTAACACCGCACTGCTTACTGACATGCAATACTATAAGACACCACAGCATGCACGTCACATCAATATGTAAATGTACAATTACACAGCATGAATTATCAATTGACTGACTGGCATACATTTCCGGTCATTAATCTAATGAATTCACTTTTACAAAAATATATGTTTATACTAATTCATACAGAAAACAAACAAACAAACACAAGAAATGAATACAACAACTCATATAATAAATGCCCAACAACTCATATAATAAACGATAAAATCATCTAATTCTCCAGAACATCTTCAGAACTACTAAAAGAACAGTAATGTCACCAGGGCCATCTCGGTAACATGCCAGGCTCAATAACTCTTCCAGTGACAGATTGGGAAAACTCGCACCGCCTACAGGCTATAAAAAATAGTTCCTATGTATTGATCAATTGAAGAACATGTGGATTGTCTGGGATGTAAAGACTCACCATTTTCTGCTTTCTATTGTATTTTAAAGCGGTCAGAGAGAGAAAGAGGAAGGAACATAGAGGAGAATAAAACAAATAAATTTACAAAATTTTAGTAAAACCTCTAAGAAAAGCCTTAGTAAAAAAAATAAAAATAAATAAAGTATACCTTTATCTGAAATTTTCTTGGGTAATGGTATGACAGTTGGATTTTTCTAACAATGTATTCTTTAATGTATACCTTGCCTACAGCCCAGTGGTATTTGAATTCTTCCTGTAAAGGCTTTAGGTACATGATACAGAGGCAAAGATGTGTTTATAGATTGGTTTAACAGAAAGGAAGCAGTGTATCAAATACTGGACACATTGTATCCAAGTGCAGAGTCTACTCTAAATAAACAGAAGTGTCAGTTCTAGCCTTTTCTTTACCACTACTGTTTGTACATCTTGACACATACTGAATAAGTATACATTAAACATACTTACATATATGACTGTAGTTGAACTCCATCTGTTGCTGAGCATCCTTTCATTGTATTAAGTACCAATAGAATCCCCAATATCTTTAGCCACATTGTGGGTAATATGATCCTTTTTCTTCTCCACCAGAAATTAAATTCAGATATATATATGTTTTTCCTCTTTGGGTAACAAAGAAAGGAATTGGCATCAGCAGGAAACCAAATCTGCTGAAAAGTGATTTTATTTTTTTAAATCTTCTTTTTTGGGTGCTATGAAGATTTGCTGTGAAGTTACACTTGAAAATTAGCATGGATTATGTAAACCAGTCTTTTAAAAAATCATGTTTTTTTTTTTTCCCCAGAAAGAATTGATCTCTCTGTACAGTCTGTAAGTCTAAGAAGAAGAAAAAAAGTTACAAAAAGCAATCAAAAAATGTGCTCAGACAGCTGTTTTTCATTGTTTGCTTGTGATGTGAGATATCCAAAGATTGTTGAATTTTTAAAGTGCTTTCTCTTCTGTAGGAAACTCGTGTGTGTCTGTGTTATGGAGTGAAGAATCAGATCCAGTCCCATTTACAAGCACAGACCAGACCCCCTCTAACAGGAGCCAGTAGGCAGACAGAAAGAGGAGGGGATTTAAAGACAGGTCAACTCCCTTAGGACACATTAGAAAGATATTCCCTGTTTTACAACCCTTTCTCTCCCTTTTCTTAAAGGATTCACTTCAGCCAGTGAGCAGAGCTAGCTGCTTGCTTTGTGAAGATCTTTGCCACACACAGAACCAAATTCATTTACCTTCCTGTCTGCTTGAGAGTCTCTCCCCCTTCTAGGTTTCCTTGTATATAATGATGTGAAAACAGGAATTCTTATTCTGCTTGTGCATTGGAGAGGTCTTAAGGAATCTCAGGTGTAATACAGGGAGAGCTACAGCTTCTGACAGCAAAGCAGGTCTTGGAAAATTCATTCTTTCTTGTAGAAAGCTGACGTGCTAGGTTTCTGCCTTTGGATGGTTTGTGCTGCTCTGCAGTTTATTCCTACACCTCTATCTGTATCATGTCTTCTGGGCAGACTGTTGAAGTTCTACATGTAATAAGTAGTGGGATCTGTCAGTTGGAGCCTAAGGAATGTAGCACAGAGGTTAAATAATGAATGGATGGGGGGGGTCATTGAGTGAACTCAAGGGGGTTTATTCACTAAACTCTGAACGTTAACAAATTAAAGTCTCAGTGGAAAAACTGTGGCTTAAATACTAATCTGTGACTGTAGCTTAGTTGGAGAATTTATGCAGATAATCTATTTTAGGCTAAATCTTGGTGTATGGGTTTTTCAGTTTGCTTCAATTCAGAATTTAGTGAATAACCTTTTATGTGTTGTTTTCATGTCTATAAACCTACAGACTTATTCACCGAACCCTAAATTGTAAGGAATTGAACCCGAATCGTAAAATTGGTGGTCGTTCTCCAACCTGTGACAATAGCTGAGTTGAAGAATTTTCCACATCACCTATTTTATCCTAAATCTTGCCATTCGAATTTCAGTTTGCAACTGTTTATTGAAAAATTCTGCCATTGAATAACGTTATATATTTATAGACAACGAATTTGCTAAATGTGCTATGCTTCCTAAGGAGGGGTATGGACTAGAATGATTGATCTTTTATTTTATATTTTGGAATATTATGGTTCTGTTTAAGAAGATAGCTCAGTGGTTTGTGCTCCAACTACCTATATTTAGTCTCCTTTCAATCTACAGGTTCTATTGGGGGCAAAGTCACCTCCATTTATCCATCCAGGTACATTTAAGTGTGTCTGTATACTATGATAATGGCGACCAAAGACAGATCCCCAGCTATTGCAAAACTAAAGCTGGCTGAGCATTATGGGTAAAAACAGCAATACACTTTTTGAAGTTGTCGATTTACCTATTGTAACATTCACACTAGAGTATATTTAAAAATTAGCTAAAGCCTGTTGTCCTCTTTTTGGCTAAATAAATAAACAAACAGTATTATGAAACAAAATGTGTATGGGATAGGTACATTACGATCTGTTTCCCAGACTTTGTGTGGCTGTCCAATCACAGACTTCCCAATGCAACTCAATGAAAAGTCTTTGCAAAGCAGGTGCTCTGGGCAATTGCTGCCTCTTGAGTTTAGCTCCACTGAGCTAACCAAATTTAGGAAGGAACAATTGCTGCTTCTTGAGTTTAGCTCCACTGAGCTAACCAAATCAGGAAGTAACAAGACCAGTTGTCTGATTGACAGCCAGGGAGGTGTAACCAGTATAATTTTAAGTGCCAATTTATATTGAAATAAGTTTTTTTTTTCCAAAATGAAAAAATAGGATACACTCTTCACAAATAAAGCTTTTCAGCATGCTGAAGGGGTCTAAATGGTCCCTTTAAGCAGATGGTAAGTCACACATACAAACAGTAATCCAAGATCAACAATCTGGTTCATGTGCCATCGAATGCAGTTTTATTTATTAATACCAACAAAAGGTGGAAGAGAAAAACACAAGAAAAGGAGGGAGGAAGGAGGGAAATAGGGAACTCCACGTTGCACCCTGAAACAAGTGTGATTCAATAAATATTAGGAATCATTGTGATAGGGACTAGCAAGCCACAGGCCCCAGATTTTATAGTAGGATATGGAATAGCCATGAACTTTGGCGTGCCTCTCAGGTTTAACTCCCATTATAATTTTGTATATATCAACTTACATCAACTGTATTACCTCTACTGTATTATTACAAAAATTACCTCATTATTTTTTTTATTATAAGGTCTGGTGAACAGATATTTTAATGATATATGAATATTTGCAAACATCTTTGAAAAAATGTGTCCAGTAATTTGCATGCTTTCACAAAAGCCAAATATTTGCACATGCTTAATGGTAGATTATTGGGAAAAGACTGACAGTAGTCTGGGCCACAAACATATATGTATTCCATACCCCAGTTGTGACTCTTCTTGCATCCCAGACCCCAGTTGTGCCTTTACTGGTGTCCATCCCCTCCTCTCCCATAGTTATACCCATTTTAATAATTACAAAAATCATACAAATATATCATGCATAAGACAATTAAATTCATCAAATGTGAAACATGTGAATCAAATAGACTTGTTTTCTAAACTATCATTTATAAAAAAAAAACTGCTGTGAATTGGTAAAATGAAAGGTTAATGCCTCACTTGAGATGTTAGCTGAGCTGGGGTTTTAATCTAGATTGCAATGAGTTATCAACTCATAACATCTCGTTGTTCAGCAAATTAATCTCTATGTGAAATTAGAAAGAATACCAATTTATCTTAGCATAATAGCTACCATTGGACCGGTGACCTCATCATGAACAGGATAAAGTTAAAGATTTCTTGGCTATGTGACATATTTTTCCTTATGCAATGCCAGAGATTTTCTGGTGTATCTCCCCAAACTCAACTGCTAGTTTTCTAAGCAAATGGCCATTTGTGTTGGCTCAGCACAATAGTGTGCTAGCGACATCAGTCTCACCCTACGGAAAAAGTCAGTAGACTCCCTTGGCTTCAGGTATCAATCCGATTAACATGCCAAGTAAAATAACAAAGCCTATCATGTTAAATGCTAATAACACATATTATATAATGCATGGTAAGGCATGAGAAAATACTGATTAATATCGTGCATGCCAGACTTGGCACAGTGTGATCTAAACATGCTAATTAAAGATTAGAACGCTCACGACTCCGCGTAATATATGCTTTCTATGCTTAATTTCAATAAATGCATAAAATACTATTTTATCAGCAATTCAATGGTTGGATACATCATTATCACCTGTGCGAATGTGAATATTAATGAGTAATGCTTCATTGGAATATTCATTAATTTATCCTTCAAACAAAATTAGGCAGCGCAAAAACTGTAATGTATATAACAATGGATAAAGGTTAACAAGAACAAAGTAACGATTATTGTGTTAGAAAAATCAGTAAGTCCCCCCATTGGCTTTCAAAGGATGAGGTTTAATATTTTGGGTCATTGACCACCAAATGATCTCCTCAAATTCACCTATATGTGCATAATATCTAAGAACACCCATTTTACATTGTTTTATAGAAATAAAACAGGTTAGAGGAAAAAGGGAAATTGATATTATAGGTATGTTTTTTAATACCTGTTTATGTTATTTTAAAATTACCTGCTTTTAGACTTAAGTTCAATATCAAGTCTTAAGCATTTCTGTCTTAAAAAGTAAAACTACTCCTGATTAAGCTCAATATTGTATTTTATTTTATTTATTACAAGCATTTATAAGACACCAGCATATTCTGAAGCGCTGGACAATTGGGGAAAATACAAAAGAGGGCCCAGCCCGTGAGCTGAGGTCTACCCATTGAAGCTCTTTTATAAAATCATCATTCCAAACTACCATTAGTGCAATTAACAAGGGCAAACATCACAGGGCAAATAACTCATTCAGCTGTGTTTGTATAACAAATCGCGATAGAGAAAATGAATCACACCCATTTGCTGACAGCTGTGAGCACAAAGGCTGCCTTGATGCTTCCATCCTAATGTTACATTTTCTTTATTGTCTATTTATATGTAGCATCCTATGATGTCCTCCTTGGTAGTAAAGATGATACTATAACCTACTATACTACCAAACCCTCTGTAAATTTTACTGATTGGTAATTTATTTATGTTATTAATCCTGTATTTTGAACTACATATGTCTATGGTTCTGTGATATGTGTTAAGTATAAAATAAAATAAAACACACTGACACTCTACCTTTAAATCCAAACGCCTTGGTGCCTCCGACACTGTATTTGGCGTTCAGTTTAAAAAACTGGAACGTTCGTATGACTTTTTTATGCAAACAAACAAACAAACAAACAAAATCTTCTTTAATTCAAATCATCAAACCATGACTGTTACATTTGTGACCAATGTTTTCAAGTATGTCCTTTTAGTTTTAATTACATTTCAATGTATGATTTCACCACAAAATATTTTTACATTTTTGTTTTACTTTGTTTTCTTTGAATTTTTCAACTTTTTAACCAGACGAGTTGGACACACAGGAACAGATCGGTTGAGGGCTCTGCTCAAATGAGCTTTTATTCTAAGGGGAGTGAGGTAAAATGACACAAAAGGTAAGGATAGGGAAGAAACGTAGGTTGCCAGAATAGTTTTCAGTGAGGGCTTAGTTGTGTTTTTTTGTGTGTGGTTTTTTTTGTTTGTTTTTTCAGATCACCAGCAAATCCGGAAAGAACAGAAATCCATTTGAGAATTTCATGAAAACTCCTGATTAGTGATGTCCCGAACGGTTCGCCGAACGGTTCGCAAATGGTTCGCCACGAACGGTTCGTCACGGACTCATCATTGAGTAAACTTTGACCCTGTACCTCACAGTCAGCAGACACATTCCAGCCAATCAGCAGCAGACCCTCCCTCACAGACCTTCCCACCTCCTGGACAGCATCCATTTTGAAGCTGCATTCTTAGTGAGCTGTCCAGGAGATGGGAGGGTCTGGGAGGGAGGGTCTGCTGCTGATTGGCTGGAATGTGTCTGCTGACTGTGAGGTACAGGATCAAAGTTTGCTCAATGATGAGTCCATGGCGAACCGTTCGTGGCGAACCGTTCGGGACATCACTACTCCTGATCAAGGATTTTCTCTGTATCGAGTTCCTAAAATATTCCTTCCATTTTTTTCATGATCTTAAACATCCTGGTGCAAGGCCGTCATTATATATCCTTGAAAATCCAGTGTCTGGTTAATCTTTTTCTTTTTTTTTCCAGTTGATTATTTTTGGATTAGTGTGTCAACCTACATTAATGAATAATTTGTGGCTTATCTATAAAGACAATAATTTCATCCACAATTCAGATCGATTAATCACCTTTTAAGATTGATCAATTGCCTATCAAGATTGGCAATCAGCTTTAAAGTTTGCTTATTCATCTTTAATGATTGAGCATCTGCCTTTTAGTCAATCTCAAAAGGCAGGTCAATAATCTTTAGAAATTAATTA